AGTTTTGGCGCTAAAGACATTAACAGAAGAAATTAATAAGAAAATTGTCAATTGTTTCTTAGTTTATCAAATCCTTATTTATTACACTATCACTTCATATATTACGGTACGGATGATCACATCTCAGAAGTCTGCTGCGAGTCACAATTCCATGGATTGATTGCTTCAGAGAAGTGCTCGTACAGCAAAGAATGTTCCTCATTTCTTTGGGGTCTGAGTACTTCTGTTGTTGAGGCTGTTCCGTTGTTTTAATATTTTCATTCGAAACTTTGAGCCGTTGCCCTTTGTTACAGCCCTGCCGTCAGACTCTTGGCTTGTTTCTCTTCCTTGTTTGACGATTTAAGGGTTTGACTACCGTTTTCAGTCTATACGGTGGAGATCTGGTCACCGGTGACGCAGTTGGCCAAGTGTTAACATCCTTCTTTTAGAAGCAAAAGGTCTAGGGCCGTAGTCCTGCAACACGCAGGCACGATGGGTGGAGGCGCAGGGTAGGTTTATATCCCATTGTACAGCTGGAAATGTAAAATCGAAAAATTCATGGGTTTAGTGGGCCTCGGCTGCAAAGCAGTTTTGGCTTGCATTCTTAGTGTGTCAGCTTGACTTCAAGAAGATTAATAAAATAAATAAATAAAAAGAGGTTTTGTTTATTTGCTTATTTCTTGCGGCAGGAAATTCGAAGAAACAGAAAGATTTTGCTGGATGGGCAGTGGCATAGAAAGGGGAGTGAAATTGCTAACGGCCCTCGGAAGGGCAAATGAGCAAAAAAAGTGTTCGGGATTAAAGTTTATATTCCATCCCGAAAAAATCTTGAAACAGTAAAACAGGCAGATAAAATTTATAAATTGTTTTAATTGAATTTAGCTAGAACCAAACAAAATCACGTTGACAAAAAAAGCATATTGTTTAACAATTTCTGAACCAAAAAATATATTTAGAAAGGTGATATACGGTTATTTACACTGTTAATAACGATTAGGAGATGAGAACAACCAATACGTTACTTTTGTTAGCTTCAGAGGATCTGGAGGTTTTATTTCTCTGAGACAGATGGCGCTATTGTTGTTCCAGCGTTTGATCCCCGTGGCATTCTGAGATAAGAATATGAGCTCCACTTTCAAAATGGAACATAATTTATCATTTAAAATCCAAGACGAAAGGCCAATGAAAGGGAGATGACGGTTTACATGTCACCGTGGTAATTAATTACATTTGGTGTTTCCAAAAGGAGTAATCAATTCGTTGAGATTAATGCTATTACGTTAAAAGCTTGTAAATCCGTTTCAAACGTTTGTCCTCCACCTATAAATTGAACTATCCTTGCTTGTCACTCTTTGTGCTGAGGTTTCTCAAGAGGGAGAGGAGAAGAAAAGGGAGTAGTCAGTATCCTTTAGCACCATGGTGAAGTTCAGTATTTATTCGGTGCTGCTAGTTTTGTCTGTCGCAACTGGAGCGGCTATCGCTGCGGAGGATCCTGGCTTCACCATTAAAAAGTATTGCTGTGAAACTAACATGGCTGCAAAATGTGTGCTTGAGGTTTTTGACAACATATTCAAGACTGGAACTGTAACCGATAAATGTTGTTAGGAGCTCGGAGCTTTGGATCAGATTTTTTACAATGCGTTTGTGTTGAACTCTATTCAAAATCTTGAATTTAATAACAAGAATTCATCAGTGGTTTTGGCGAATAGCAAGCTGTTGTACCTATGATATTGATGATTACAAAACACATTTGAGTTACTAATTGGTTTATTTAAGTGTATAGTTAAGTTTCTAAAAGATTGTGAGTAAACTTGGACTGCACTTAAAAATGGACTAGAAAGGCTTGAGTATGTGCAGAGAGCCGACTCTTGAAATCTACAGTCGACTCTGGTGAAATGGAAGTACAAAGAGTCAACTCTGGAAGCTGCAGCTGGCTCTCCAAGTAAAGTCTTAAAGGCCCATTGATTGGCACGCGCAGAGAAAAGATGCAGAGCTGGCTCTAACTTTGCAATCGGCTGTAAGGGTGCTTTTAATGCACAACAGTCGAGTTATTTGAAGATTATTTAATTTGTTTAAAGTTGGAATCCCAAAGCCGGCTCTAGGCTTTGCAGTCGGCTGTGGAAGAAAACAGAATATGCAGAAAACCCGCAAATCTGGTTGCCGAAATGGTGAGTCGGTTGTACAGAGCTTGCTCTAGGAAGCTAAGCCAACTCTCTTGACAATCCTCCAACTCGATTTTTGCCTCCCGCAGAGCATTAAATGACCCCTAACAGCTAGTAATGGCTATTTTCGACCATAGGGTTATAAATATGGTTGGTAGAAGACCTGAAGGAGGTTTAGAGAGCATTGCATTGAATATCTTTACCTACCTACATGAGCTTTAACTTGAGTTTTTGATCTTTGAGAGATCTTTACTTGTAATCCTCTTCTTGTTCTATTTGTGAGTGATCTTAAGGGTGTGATTAATCCTTCAAGAGTGATTTGTAGAGAGGATTCTTGGGGTTTAAGTGTAAAGGGGTGAGATTTTAGAGAAACACCCTTCTTCTTGTAAAAGGATTGAGTGGCTCCTTTAACCCACCCTTGTTGTTGTTAGTGGAGAGTGTGGAGGAAATCCTTGGTGAGTGAAGCCAAGGTAGAGGACTAGGTTCCAAGTGGTTGGACCAAACCTCTATAAAATCATTGAGCAAGCTCTTCTTCTCTACTCTCTTTATTTTTGATTTTGTGGTTGCAAAAAAGGGAGAATTTTTGGAACTCCAATTCACCCCCCTCTTGGAGTACATTGAGTCAACACAAGCAAGTGTGGAACAAGTGTACCTTAGTTTCGCCAACTCCTTCCCCTGTTTAAATTTAAAAATTAGTTGTTACCAATCAACAGTTGTAAAAGCCACCTTTATGTAACCGATAATATAGCTTTAAATAACATGCTTTGTTCAACAATATTAAAAGGCTCACTTTTGAAGTTTCGGCGCTAAAGACATTAACAGAAGCAATTAATAAGAAAATTGTCAATTGTTTCTTAATTTATCAAATTATTATTTGTTACACTATTACTTCATATATAACGGTATGGACGATCATATCTCAGAAGTCTCTGCGAGTCGCAATTACATGGATTGATTGCTTCAGAGAAGTGCTCGTACAGCAAAGAATGTTCCCCATTTTTTTGGGGTCTGAGTACTTATGTTGTTGAGGTTGTTCTGTTGTTTCATATTTTCATTCAAAACTTTGAGCTGTTGCCTTTTGTTACAGCTCTACTGTCAGACTCTTGGCTTGTTTCTCCCCCTTGTTTGACGATTTAAGGGTTTGACTGCCGTTTATAGTTTATACGGTGGAGATTTGGTCACCAGTGACGTAGTTGGCCAAGTGTTAATATCCTTCTTTTAGAAGCAAAAGGTCTAGGGCCGTCGTCGTGCAACACGCAGGCGTGGTGGATGGAGGCACGAGGTAGGTTTAAATCCCATTCTGCAATTGGAAATGTAAAATCGAAAATTTCATGGGTTCAGTGGGCTTTGGATGCAAAGTAGTTTTGGCTTGCATTCTTAGTGTGTCAGCTTGACTTCAAGAAAATTAATAAAATAAATAAATAAAGGTTTTGTTTATTTTCTTATTTCTTGGGGCAGGGAATTCTTCGAAGAAACAGAAAGATTTTGCTGGATGGGCAGTGGCACAGAAAAGGGAATGAAATTGCTAACGGCCCTCAGAAGGGCAAATGAACAAAAAAAGTGTTTGGGATTAAAGTTTAAATTCCATCCGAAAAAAATCTTGAAATAGTAAAATAGGCAGATAAAATTTATAAATTGTTTTTATTAAATTTAACTGAAACTAAACAAAATCACGTTGACAAAAAAAAATATTGTTTAATAATTACTGAACAAAAAAATATATTTAGAAAGGTGATATACGGTTATTTATACTGTTAATAATGGTTAAGAAATGAGAACAATCAATATGTTACTTTTGTTAGTTTCAGAGGATTTGGCGGTATTATTTCTCTAAGACAGATAGCGCTATTGTTGTTCTAGCATTTGATCATTGCCTTTCTGCGAAAGATTGCCCTAATCGACGCACTGCAAATTAATCTTGAGGACACCTATGTGCTATATGTATAGAACTTAATTACGGTGGTGATCTAGACAATTACATCAATAATTCTCTACTGCTCCAATAATAGGATGCCTCCTAAATTAAAATTTTTGAAAGTATTATATTATCATTTTAATGTTTAATTAAGGAAACTATTTACGTAAAGAATTGATACGCAATGAAACGAGAATTAATGATTCAATTGGATGGAACAATAATAGTTTCTTCGGGGTTGTAAGAACTGTATTCAGGGCATGGTTTAAAAATTAAATGGAAATTCAAATGTGATACTAAAATGCTAAAGCTTTTTAATCCTCGTGGCACTCTGAGATAAGAATATGAGCTCCACTTTCAAAATGGAACATAATTTATTGTTTAAAATCCAAGACGAAAGGCCAATGAAAGGGAGATTACAGTTTATGTGTCACCGTGGTAATTAATTAAATTTGGTGTTTACAAAAAGAGTAATCAATTCACTGAGAGTAATGCTATTACGTTAAAACTTGTAAATCCATTTCAAACATTTGTCCTCCACGTATAAATTGAACTATCCTTGCTTGTCACTCTTTGTGCTAAGGTTTCTCAAGAGGGAGAGAAGAAGAAAAGGGAGTAGTTAGTATCCTTTAGCACCATGGTGAAGTTCAGTATTTATTCGGTGCTGCTAGTTTTGTCTATCGCAACTAGAGCGGTTATCGTTGTGTAGGATCCTGGCTTCACCATTAAAAAGTATGGCTGTGAAACTAAGATGGTTGCAGAATGTGCGCTTGAGGTTTTTGACAGCATATTCAAGACTAGAACTGTAACCGATAAATGTTGTCAGGAGCTCGGAGCTTTGGGTTAGATTTGTTACAATGCATTTGTGTTGAAGTCTCTTCAAAATCCTGAATTCAAAAACAAGAATTCATTGGTGGTTTTGGTGAAGAGCAAGCAAGTGTGAAACAAGTGTGCTTTAGTTTCGCCAACTCCTTCCCTTGTTTAAATTTAAAAATTAGTTGTTACCGATCAACGGTTGTAAAAGCCACCTTTATGTAACCGATAATATAGCTTTAAATAACATGCTTTGGTCGACAATATTAAAAGGCTCACTTCTAAAGTTTCGGCGCCAAAGACATTAATCGAAGCAATTAATAAGAAATTGTCAATTGTTTCTTAATTTATCAAATTCTTATTTATTACACTATTACTTCATATATTACAGTACGGAGGATCATATCTCAGAAGTCTCTTGTGAGTCGCAATTACATGGATTGATTACTTTAGAGAAGTGCTCATGCAACAAAGAATGTTCCCCATTTTTTTGGGGTCTGAGTACTTCTGTTGTTGAGGTTGTTCTGTTGTTTTAATATTTTCATTCGAAACTTTGAGCTGTTGCCTTTTAGTGCAGCCCTGTCGTCAGACTCTTGGCTTGTTTCTCCTCCTTGTTTGACGATTTGAGGGTTTGACTACCATTTATAGTCTATATGGTGGAGATTTGGTCACCATTGACGTAGTTGGCCAAGTGTTAATATCCTTCTTTTATAAGTAAAAGGTCTAGGGCTGTAGTTGTGCAACACGCAAGCGTGGTGGGTGGAGGCATAGGGTAGGTTTAAATCCCATTGTACAATTGAAAATGTAAAATCGAGAAATTCATGGGTTCAATGGGTTTTAGCTGCAAAATAGTTTCTAAGCTATTGGCTTGCATTCTTAGTGTGTTAGCTTGAGTTAGAGAAAATTAATTAAAAAAAATGTTTTGTTTATTTGTTTATTTCTTGAGGTAGGGAATTCGAAGAAACAGAAAATTTTGCAGGATGGGCAATGGCTCATAAAAGGGAGTGAAATTGCTAATGGCCCCCAGAATGGCAAATGAGAAAAAAAAGTGTTTGAGATTAAAGTTTAAATTTCATCCAACAAAAATTTAGTAAAATAGGCAAATAAAATTTATAAATTGCTTTTATTAAATTTAATTGGAATTAAGCAAAATCACACTGATCATTTAATAATTACTAAATAAAAATATATTTAGAAAGGTAATCTACAGTTATTTATACTGTTAATAATGGTTAAGAAATGAAAACAATCAATACATTATTTTTGTTAGTTTCAGAGGATCTGACGGTTTTATTTTTTCTAAAACAAATAGTGTTATCCTTGTTCCAGCATTTGATTGTTGCCTTTCCGCAAAAAGATTGCCCTGGTTGACACACTCAAAGCTGATCTCAGGGACACCCAAGTGCTATATGTATAGAACTTAACTATAGTGGTGATCTAGACAATCGCATTAATGGATTCTCTACTACTCTAATAATAGGATGCCTCTTAAATTAAAATTTCTGAAAGTATTTTATTATTGTTTTAATGTTTAATTATGGAAACTATTTGTGTAAAGAATTGATTTGCAATGAAAAGAGAATTAATGATTTAGTTGGATGGAATAATAATAGTTTCCTGGTTGTAAAAACCATATTTAGTGCATGATTTAAAAATTAAATAAAAATTCAAATATGATACTAAAATGCTAAAGCAATTTAATACCCGTGGCACTTTGAGATCAAAATATGAGCTCCACTTTTAAAATGGAAAATAATTTATTATTTAAAATCCAAAACAAAAGGCCAATGAAAGGGAGATGGTGGTTTATATTTTGTTGTAATAATTGAGTAAATTTTGTTTTTATAAAAGGAGTAATCAGTTCATTAAGATTAATGCTATTACATTAAAAATTTGTAAATCCATTTCAAACGTTTGTCCTCCACCTATAAATTGAACTATCCTTGCTTGTTACTCTTTGTGCTAAGGTTTTTCAAGAGGGAGAAGAGAAAAAAAAGGAGTAGTCAGTATTCTTCAGCACCATGATGAAGTTCAATATTTATTCGGTGCTGCTAGTTTTGTCTATTGCAACTGGAGCAGTTATCGCTGTGGAAGATCCTGGCTTCACTATTAAAAAGTATGGCTATGAAACTAGGATGGCAGCAGATTGTGCACTCGAGGTTTTTGACAGCATATTCAAGACTGGAATTGTAACCAATAAATGTTGTCAAGAGCTCAGAGTTTTGGGTCAAATTTTTCACAATGCATTTGTGTTGAAGTCTCTTCAAAATCTTGAATTCAAAAACAAGAATTCATCGATGATTTTGGCGAAGAGTAAGCAAGTGTGGAACAAATATGCCTTAGTTTCACTAATTCCTTCCCCTGTTTAAATTTAAAAATTAGTTGTTACCAATCAACAATTGTAAAAGCAACCTTTATGTAACCGATAATATAGCTTTGAATAACATGCTTTGGTCGACCATATTAAAAGGGTCACTTTTGAAGTTTTGACGCTAAAGACATTAACAGAAGCAATTAATAGGAAATTGTCAATTGCTTCTTAATTTATCAAATTCGTATTTATTACACTATTACTTCATATATTACCATACAAAAGATCATATCTCATATGTCTCCTGTGAGTCACAATTACATGGATTGATTGCTACAAAGAAATGTTCGTATAGCAAAAAATGTTCCCCATTTTTTTGGGTTTGAGTACTTCTTTTGTTGAGGCTGTTATGTTGTTTTAATATTTTCATCCAAAACTTTGAGCTGTTGCCTTTCATTACAACCCTGCTATCATACTTTTGACTTCTTTCTCCCTTTTGTTTAATGATTTAAGGGTTCAATTGTCATTTATAGTCTCTATGATGGAGATTTAGTCACTAGTGACGTAGTTGGCCAAGTGTTTTTGTCTCGCCCCAAAACCAGTAGTGAAACAAATGCCATACACTTGTGAGTGACTCCCACAATTGCCCAAGGCTCACAACCTATTTTGATTCATTATGTATAATTCATAACTGGCAATCCACAAAACTATGATCTACAATCTCAGAATAAAATCTAGCTTTCAATAACCAAAGTATGACTAGGCCAAGAGTGCACAAAAATTAATACAACCCTATCAGTACAATCTTGACTATATCCAAGGGAATTCTAGCCTATAAAAGAATGATGTATATCTCAACATTTATGTCCAAAAATAATTTGACTAGCAGCCTAATTCCAAAATAACCTAAGTCCAAAATATAAGTGACTAGCCTTCTAGCTTGTCACTCCCCTTGGTTTCCCATGTCCCTGGTCCAACTACTTGAAATGGTGGATGAGGAAAAACTATGTGAGATAACTCAACATGTAAAAATATGAGTAGCTCTTATTTAAAGTTAAAGCATGCCAAATAATAATTAAAACATAAACCACAGGAAAAATCTCAATTATAAGCATTTAATACATTGTAAAACTCATTAGTGGTCTCCTCAATTAGTCATCGCCAGTGTTTAACAAACTCCCACTAGCAAGCGTCAAGAATAACCAGTGTACTATCCCATTGGCAAGAATAATAAGAATAAATCAAAATAATCAGTTTCCAGGAATATATGTCAGCATGTGCCAGCATTTACAACTCCCATTGGCAAGCTTCAGAAATCATGACCATTTTAGAGACAAAACCATGCAAGAGTTCAACAAGAAGATTCATAATTTACAAACCAATTTCATATTATCAAGACAATCAAGTAAAACTCCATGGAGGAATGCTCAACTCAATAAAAATAAAAACAACTTTATTTCAAACCAATCATATTCATGTGCTAATGAAAATCAATTTAGGTCTTGCCACCATCCCAAAAATAGTTCAAAATATACTTTAAAAACCTTTACCTAAAAACCCAAGGGTATTTATCATAATTTTACTTACCTCACCTTGTAAGTAGACAACTAGCAAGAATTCAAGAACTCAAGGCAGTTAAGGTGATAAAAAACATGTACCACATCAAATGAATAAACAAGATTACAACATACTTCATTTAACTAATTTGGTTCTTAATTCCAAAATCAAGTTTCTAATCAAAGAAATAACTTCCTTCTACACCTCCATGTCACTTCTATCCTTTGAAACCTTACTAATATATATCTACATACATATATATTCATATGCATAATCATACTTAAAACATGCTTAAAATAGCATCAAATGTCACTCGAAACAGCATGTATTCCAAATAGATTTTTTGGGCAGAATAAAGTAGAAAAATGTGAAAATCCAAGCTTAAAATTGTCACAAACAACAACACAAAAACTAGGTAGCAAGGTGGGCTTTCCACCATTTGAAATAGTCCCAAAATGTCTAGAAAAACACCCTTTATAGCAGGGATTATTTGGGCAAAAATGCCAATGAAAATAGTGCAAAATACAAGCCAAAACTAGGCAAAAATGGACAACATTTAAGAAAATTTTGATGGCAAAAAGGCCACCAAAACAATCAAAATTTTCAAGATAGAACAACATAATTTAATTGCAAAGCTACATGCAAAACTATATGTAGAAATGTAGATTTTAACTAACATAATTGCATACTTTCTAACATGAAAATAGGAAAAATATCAAGTTAAAATAACAACTAACCATAGCTAAAATTTCTAGGCTGTGTCATACAAAATTTAAGTAAGAAAACATATGATTCAAGACAGATTTTAATGGGAAGAGTTGAGATTAACAGAGCAGGATTTCAGTAGCAAAATCAAGTAATAACAAGGTGTTTTTGCGTAGCAATCAGCAACTAAAAGTCTAGTAAAATCATGATGTGATGTGGCAACAAATAATGTGGGCGTAAAGTAGAAAATAAAGCAAATTTCTAGGCACTTTTGAGGGCAAGTTTTAGTCAAATTCTAAATCAAAAGTTCCAACAAAGTTTGCACAAAAAATTGACTAATTTGAGCTGAATAGTTAACATTTAATTGTAGCCCTATGTCTTAGCTTTCTATATGATCAAAAATCACCTTAATCCAACATCTATAAAGAAACTTATGATCATAATACTAATATAAGGTTGAGCTACCAATTCCATCCACCTTTAGGAACCAAAACTTGCAGTAAAGTTTTCACCTTAACAATAGCTTAGCTAGGTTAAATGTCCAATAGAAAAACTATAGAACTATTTCTTAACTTTCCATAAAATCAAGATTGGACTTAATCTAATAGCTACAAAAAGAGTTATGGGCAAAATACTGCTATCAAGTCATGCTATCAAAATTTCTAGCAAAAGGGATCAAATCTGCTGGTGCTAGATTATGGGCAAAAATCAAAGAGGAAAATTATGGAAACAAACCCCAAAATTGAAGACCCTAAAGGATTAGAGTTAACCCAATTCAAATCAAAGATGAAAAGGTGACCATGTGGCTGATTTCTTATCAAAAAGTGCTAGAAAATGACAGCCTCCCTTTACACTGTATAGTTACCAACATGGACCAGATAATTGGGGGAAGCAACAACAGCAAAATCTGTATTTGGTCATGATTTTTAGAAGCATAGCCTATAAATCTCTAAATCAAACTTGGGAGGAAGAAGAATTAAATCTCACATGATTTCTAGTAAGAGGAAGCTGAGCATAGGCTAGGCTAGTCAGAAAATTTCTGGTGAGGGGTTGTGGGTCTATAGAAACACGCAAGAGGGCAAGGAGAAAAAGGAAAATCAGCCTTAGCCCTTTTATTACTATATGTTCTTTTAGCCCCCCCTTAGGTTTGGAATTTTAGTTATTAGGCCTAGCAATGATAATTTCTCTCACATAAATCCCTAACTTAAATTTCAAGGTTTTGGAAAATGTTGGCATATTACTGTTAATATCCTTCTTTTGGAAGTAAAAGGTCTAGGGTTGTAGTCATACAACATGCAGGCATGGTGGGTGGAGGTATAGGGTAGGTTTAAATCCCATTGTACAATTGAAAATCTAAAATTGAAAAATTCAAGAGTTCAATGGGCTTTAGCTATGAAATCATTTTTAAACTATTGCCTTGCATTCTTAGTGTGTTAGCTTGAAGTAAAGAAAATTAATAAAAAAAAAAATTATTTATTTGTTTATTTCTTAGGGTAGGGAATTTGAAGAAAGAGAAAAATTTTGTAGGATAGGCAGTGGAACATAAAAGGGATTGAAATTGCTAACAGCTTTTGGAAAGGCAAATGAGAAATAAAGTGTTTGAGATTAAAGTTTAAATTTCATCCAATAAAAATTTTGAAATATTAAAATAAACAAATAAAATTTATAAATTATTTTTATTAAATTTAATTGGAGCTAAACAAAATCACAATGATCAAAACGTAAATTATTTAATAATTATTAAACAAAAAATATATATTTAGAAAGGTAATATACAATTATTTATACTGTTAATAATGGTTAAGAAATGAAAACAATCAATACATTATTTCTGTTAGTTTCAGACGATTTAACAGTTTTAGTTTTCTAAAATAGATAATGTTATTCTTGTTCCAACATTTGATCATTGCCTTTCCGTAAAAAATTTCCCCAATTGAAATGCTCCAAATTAATCTTGAGAACATTCAGATGCTATATATTTAGAACTTAAATGTAGTGATGATCTAGACAATTGCATTAATGATTCTCTAGTGCTCTAATAATATGATGCTCTTAAATTAAAATTTTCAAAAGTATTTTATTATTGTTTTAATGTTTAATTAAGGAAACTATTTACATAAAAAATTGATACACAATGAAAAGAAAATTAATAATTCAATTGGATGGAATAATATTAGTTTTGGGGTTGTAAAAACTATATTTAGGGTATGATTTAAAAATTAAATTAAAGTTCAATGTGATACTAAAATTCTAAAACAATTTAAGACGTGGTATTTTGAAATCAAAATACGAACTCAACTTTTAAAATGAAATTTAATTTAAAATCCAAAACAAAAGGTAAATGAAAGGGAGATGGCTGTTTATATTTCACTATAATAATTAATTAAATTTTCTTTTTATAAAATGAGTAATTAATTCATTGAGATTAATGCCATTACGTTAAAAATTTCTAAATCCATCTCATTGTCTTCAACCTATAAATTGAACTATCCTTTCTTGTTACTTTTTGTGCTAAGGTTTCTCAAACAGAAAAGGAGAAAAAAAGGGAGCAGTTAGTATTTTTTAGCACCATGGTGAAACCATGGTAAAGTTCAGTATTTATTCAGTGCTGCTAGTTTTTTTTGTTGCAGCTAGAGTGGTTATCGCTATGGAAGATTCTAACTTTACCATTAAAAAGTATGGCTATGAAACTAAGATGGAAGCAAAATGTGCACTTGAGGTTTTTGATAGCATATTTAAGACTAGAATTATAAATAATAAATGTTGTCAGGAGCTCAAAGTTTTGCGTCAAATTTGTCACAATGCATTTGTGTTAAAGTCTCTTCAAAATATTGAATTCCAAAACAATAATTCATCGGTGATTTTGTCAAAGAGCAAGCAAGTGTGGAACAAGTGTACCTTAGTTTCAC